AGCCCTCGTGCTTCCTCCGGGTGGCATGGGAGCTAGGCACCGAAAGGGTGTTACAGCTGAACGATTATTATTATTATTATTACAGTCCAGTTGATAGTTCCGAATTATCGTCCCAATAAGGAAATCACTCGTTCGCCTGCCGTGAGTAGGTGTGATTTCGTGGTTTCTTTGCAATATTCGTTATCCTCCCAGGGCCATAGTAGATCGGTTGTGCAGATTGAATGCCTGACGCAATTTCCCATCACTGCGTCTCCCTCTTCACTTTCGTCACTTATGGCGCGACGGTAACATTTAATGTGCCTTTGTTAGTCACAGGGGGCGAATTTACTGACCAGAAGGTCCGTGGTTCGAACCCGACCTCTGCCTCTCGACTTCCTGTGTCTAGGCTTGGGCAACCTGGCAGTATCCCAGCCCTCGTGCTTCCTTCTCTTGGCGTGGTAGCTAGGGACCGAAAGGGTGTTACAGCTGAATGGTTGTCTTATATATTTTATATTATACTCCGTCACGGATGAGGAATGCACCGACATTTATAGTAAAAAGTATTGGTAATGGACGTAGAAATCAGCGATACACTGTCGCGGTCATGAGAGCGAACCCGAGTTGGACATGAGTAACGAGATGAAACTCTTTATGCACATAAATTTGGCCTTTCGATTTTGATTCGTATGACCAGTGAATTCCAGAGGTTTTGAGATGAGACCACGCACCACGACTATAGACCACCTTTCTGGGTCGCACAAGTGACCTATTCCCGTCATATTGGATACAGTTGATCAACTTGGACTGCATGTAGCCACTTGACTTTGGGTCACCCTTGTTAACGTGTGGAAAGCGTCGGTCCGTTTGGTCGGTTTCAGTGTTACCGCCGTTTAGAGCAAGCTGGCAGGTGATATGGGAAACAGTGCTCGGACGACGTCCGTTGGCTGAGAATAATCGTGGTTGTGAGCGGTTTTGGGATTTGCAGGATACGTGCTCACATCACTCCCACCCTGCTGTACCGGGATAATCATTCTGGTGAGTCGACACCAAAGGTGGGAAGCGGTGGACTCGAGTTTCGCTCTTATTTGAACTCATCAACCATGCATACCCTTGGTCGTGCCGCGGTTTGAACTCTGCACACCTGACATGCGAGTCAAGCGTGTCACCACCACTCTCTCAGAACACCAATGGACTAGATGGCTCCAATAATGCGTCGGGCTGGTGTTGTCCGCTCTCGAGGACCAGAATTAAGCTCCGGCAGATCCCACAAACGGGACAGAAGTCAAGATTTTCAACGTTGCATTCAGTCTTGTTCAGCCTGCTCAACTTGGCCGACAAATGGATGACGGGCTGTGAACTGAGTTCAGGTCATGGAATCCTGATAGGCCAAAAACGTAGGGGTTCACTGTGTCACCTTACCGGTCAGAATCACTAATAAAGATTTCTGTTAGCCCCTA